CCGAAAAATCCATTTCTAAGCAGATAAGTGTGCTCTGCTGATCGGAAAGTCGGAGTTCCGGTCCTTCTAAAATATTTTTCGTATAGTTTTCAATATATTTATTCATTTTCAAAAGAGTTTTAGACAGTGGCAAGTCTCCGTTGCTTTGTACTTTGTACCGTTACTGCTTAGAAATGGATTTTTCGGGGATTATGAATTTATTAAAAGTAACGGAGACTTGCCACTGCCTAGATCTCTTCGTAAAATGAATATATATATATATACACAATATATGTATGACATTTTACGACGCGATATGATTTTAAAATAAGTATTAAAAATAGGAAAATCATACAATTTGTGCTAGAAATGAAAAAGAAAGAACGAAATCTCTTATACTATAAAATTTATACTGATTTTGGCACTGAGAAGAGTAAACAGCGTACAATGTACGTGGCTTTTCTTAAGAGAATATAACTGTCACTCAAATTTATCGGTACTAATCCGGTCATAGACGTCATAAGGTACTTTTTTAATTACAATTTAATCAAGGCTTCTCGAGAATAAACACGCGATGGTTGTTTATTACACACGTATACCATTGTGTTGAGTGCCTACTAACGTCAGAAGGTACGTGCTGTCAGCCGATTTTGCTGTTGATACTAGATTAGATATCCGCGGAATAAGATATCCACTGATTCAAATATCTGAATTAACTTTAGCTATAGAAGTTGACCGATGTGTAACAAGAAATATATCTAATGGAAACATTCGAGGAAATAGAGCTTATCGTCGGCAGTATCGCATTTTAAAGCACCCGGGGTCATGCCTGCGATTATGTGCGAATTCAGAGCATTGTATTGACACTTGAACCTCGTACTTTACGCATGCTGCGCGTTTAATGCGTGTAAAATTTGCCATACCTCTTGGAAGATTTGGCCCAGATAGCATTTGTGATATCGAATCCGTGAAACCACTGACGTGAACGCACGGCATTCGCTGTATTTATCAAGATGTCTTTGCTGACAACGTATGAGATATAAGGGGCAAGTAATATCTGAGCGCAGATAGTGTTGCGCCAGACAGGCCTGTGATACGTGCGTGAAGAAAATCAAAGCGCGATCAAAGAGAAATTATTATCACAATGAGGTAAGAAAAATATTTATTAAATCATTCACAAGTGAGATAGAGGTTTAATTTAAGAAGTAACTCAAGATAAACTTCGTCTGCTTGAAAATTATTATATAAAACAAATTTTTTCTAAAATAAAATTTTTACAAAACATATTATAATGAATGTAATTCGTATATTTTCGTAATATATGAAGAACATAATACTTCTTTTTCTTCTTCCTCGTGTTAGGCTTAAAAGCCTGTTTTATCCAGTTCGTTCTGTACCAGTTCTGTACCAGAACGAACTGGTACTTTGAGCATTTACTTCAACTTCGGTAGGCTACTAATCTTGCCGAAGGAAATCGCCAATCTGTAGGGCTGTACCCCTAAAAGAATTTGTGTGGCAGGATACTCTCGGTGGTTACCACTTTCCTTCAGAAAATTTTGAAAAAACCAGAGGTGTTCGTGGATTTAAACTCGGATCTTTTCGTTCATTTGTTTACTAAGCAGCGCACATTTCTCTACGCCACATCCGCCACTTAATACTTGTATTAATAAAAAAAAATTATTTTATCATGACGTTAGCAATTTGTTCTATTCTTCTATTTTTATTAATTCTTTGCGCTCCAATATCGAAGTTGGCATAATGCTTTATGATGAACTTTCATTTAGTTGTCCAAACAGTAAATAGCTATATTTTTGGAATCTTTATAAATTTCATCAAAAAATATAAATTAGTCGTAATGTTAACTCATTCAAAAGGCGAACTATTTCGCTCGTTTATGAGTAATGATTTAGAATAAGAATTAACGCCAATCCTGTACATATCGATATCTCTGCTAGAAATTTAAAATAAAAAGGCCAAATTCGATCTGTTTAGGTTGTGGATATTGTTAACTGCACTTTTATTAGTTGCAATACTCGTGACGGAAACCTCTGCAAAGAAATCGAGAAAAGATGTGGAATCAAAAGATGGTGGTGAAAGAGAAAAGAAGGTCAATGCAGAACACCGTACAAAGTAAGTAGTAAAACTTGATGAACAGAATAATTTGTTTAAAAATATTCGTCTAAATTTCTATCATATGTATAGCGTTTATATTTTATTTAATCTATGTAGCAAGTTTGATTATCACTCTTAGATAAAATTTACAAGTGCACGGATTGGAGTTTAAATAAATAAATAAGAAACATGCTCTCTTTAAACTAACTATATGCTTCACTGGCTAATATGTTATTTACTTCAAACTTGTAACTTTTAAACGTTATTTTTAGTAACTAAGTTAATTAATTAACATGCTTTTTAGAGATAAACAGTCAAAGAAGAAAGACAAATATGTAAAAGAGCAGCAAAAGAGAAAAAGTAGTTCATCAGAACAAAATATCGAAGATCCTTCCGATAAAAACTCAGAAGTGAAAAATTCTTACAAGTCGGAACAGAAATCGAAAAACAAGCGGAACAAACGTGAAAATGCTGAAATGACAAATGAAAAGGAGAATACAAATACTGAAAAACAATCGAAGTACTCGAAAGATAAGATAAAGACGGAAATGCCAAATAAAAAAGATAAAACTGCTAAAGAACAATCGAATGAAGCTTCTCAAAATTCTGAGATTCGTCAAAAATCGAAGAAAGGCTCGAAGGAAGAGAAAAATAAGAAGAAATCGACAAATAGCGAGGAGGTAGAAAATGTAGAGACAAATGCAAATGCTGATGTTCAAAATAAGAAGAAGACCAAACGCTCTAAATCGGAAAATTCTGAAAACGTTAAGGAAGTTGTTGATAAAAACGCAAAGAAAACTAAATACGATAAGAAAAAGAAGAAGGAAGAGGTGTCGGAGAACACAAAGACCAAAGCAGACGAAAAAGAAGCCGATACAACATCTGCAGATTCTGAGCAAGAAGAAGCTGTGGACAAGACAAATAAATATAAACAGAAATCTCAGGAGTCGTCAAAGAAAAGTAAGAAAACTAAGAAGAAGCGTGAGGTAGTGCAGCAAGAAGAGGAAGCTCAGGAAGAACAAGTAGAAACAAAATCAATCGAAGAGGAAGAAGATGCAATTGAAACAAATGAGATCGAATCTGAAGAAAATTGCTCGGCTCAAACAAATGACGAAGAGTGTGCGGCGTCGGAATAATAATAACGTTTCAATATATTGATAAAATAATAAGAGCGGTTAAAAGATATATTTACGTTAATACTAAATTACAAAGATTTTAAACAACGATGCACTTTATATTAGACAAATTTATTTATTTTATCTATCTATAGTAAATATGTAAATTTTAGAATATCGGCCTCTAAATTTCACATTTAAAAACGTTACTTTTCACAGTCTTGATGTCTCCCTTACCACTTTTCCATTATGCCGATGGGATGCACTGAAAACATTAGTTTGCAATTATTGTCTTTCACCTCGCACCTGCGCGCGATTTGTGGTTCATGAAAGAATTCAAACATCTCGTTCAAATGTCCCATTGTGTAAAGACGACTGTCTATGCTTACCAGTTGATTGTGCCATGAATGCGATGACCCATCCCGATCCAATGTTGTTCACTGTCGACATGTATTTAACGAGAACTCGATTGGTATCAGCTTCGAGCCTCGCTGGATCATCCTATGTAAAAAATAATTTTATTAAACATTTGTAATTATATATTGTATTATATGTAATTGAATAAATTATTAAAAGTATGTTGAATTATATATTTAGAAATGTGATGATTTTAAGAAATATTTGAAATACAATTTGAAGCAAAATTAAAAAAGTAATTATGCAGAATAGATTCTCGCTGAGAAAATTCTCTAGATAGTAATTTCCCCAGTAACAAAGTCTATCGGTGGTTTTCAAGAATGTCATTTTACGAAACAACTTACTCCGCCGCAATAAGTGCTGTGTAAAAGTTCTCCATTGGGGACAACGTCATAAATTTTGACATTATTGTTGTCGCAGTTTTTCTTCGTGCCGATGTCAAAGACGAGGAACTGGAGAAAGATCTTAAAACCTTGCGGTACGCTCACGTCCCAAGTGCATACAGTATTATTGCGATACGTATTGGGATACAATGGCGAGGTGAATCTGCCTCCGTAATTGAATATACGACCGCCGCAACCTCGACCTGCACAAATTTCATTTTGAGTCATTTTATAAAACGACTTTGGTCGATATGCCCGTACATTTCATTTGTAATACAATTCGCGAAGTGTTTGAACCGATGCCGCGAGATCGCAATCGGATTTTCGTGCGGTCCCCCGCGAAAATGAACCACAGTTTCACCGTGACGCGTATCTCGAGGCGTCGCAACGTCGTAAATCATCGCCCGCGCGTTATAATTTCTCCGCATCTGGTGGCGTGCATTAATCGGATGCAACGAAGAGGAGGATTTGTGCATGCTGCTGCGAACGCGTCCTACCTGCGTCCGTGGTCGTGTAAAGGATGTCATAACTTTGATAAGAGCTGGCGCTCTCGGTCCAGGAGTGCAAAGTGAGTTTGTTGCCGGTGCTGAAAATCGGGCTTGGCGTCATCGTACTGCACAGTTTCGCTAGGAGCGGTCCACTTGAGTCACCCTCGTGTACCTGTGAGACGCATAAATCTATTTAGGAATTTAGACTTACAGCGCGTATCGAAACGCGGTTTACGTCACTCGGGTTTTCCAAAGTAAATTGAATAGTTTTCTGTACTCTGTCAGCGCGATTTCCTTAGCAAGTGCATAGGTAGATAACGTACCTGCAGCGCGTTGCGCGTGCACTGCTCTGCATCGTAAATGCTGAAATGATTAAAGTACAGAGAAATGGTACGGTTCGCCGGAACGGTGATCGTGATCCAGCAACTTGTGAATCCGTTATGGAAAATTCGCCCCTGCTCGCTCGTGTAATTCCGATCGCAATTCGGTGTGCTGTATTCAAGCTTAAAGCCTTTGTGATTGTTGGATAATGATCTAAACGTCACTTCGACTTCATTGCTATAACTGCGAAACAACATTCAATTTGGAATAATCGTACTCTTCAAAATATATAATATTGCAATGTGATTCTACGAGTCAAGTTTAAATACCTATAATACTCGTGTGGTAATTCGCTGCCGCAATACTTGTAGGAGGAAAAAGGTAAACGGCTACCCTGAAACAAAATACTTAATAAGTATTGTATAAGTAAATCACTAATAAACAACGAAACGTATTAATTCTTAATGTAGAATTCTTACCATCTCAACGCTAATCGGATGGTTTCTCATGCCACTATAAATAAAGTTTGTTCCGAAGCCTTCATTTATGTATTTCTGTTTATTAAAAAGAAAATAATAGTTTAATTTTTTATTTTATGTAGACAAATTTTTTTCTCGATTATTAAGAACATAAGTATATATTTATAATTGTTTTATGAACAAAATTATTAACAGGTTTATGGAATATTTGAATGTTTTTTATCTATCAAGTACTTACATTTTGCTCAGAAATTTCTAAATATTCGTCTTCACACTTATTCGAGTCCATCAAATCAAAATCTATAAATCGTATTCGCATTCTATCATTGTATTCACCAGCAAATTGCAAAGTCCAGCGACATAATGTTCCAGCTAAATGCGTATTTGGATAATTTGGCGAAGTAAGTACGTTATTTGTCGCATTGACTACCCGAATACTCAAGCCACATAATGCTGCAACAAAATCACACGAGAAAAGTTACTCATATGTATTAAAAAGGGAATGATAATAAAGTAGATATAAATAAAAATTCAAGAAATATAGGATTTTTTTATCTTTGTAACAACGACTTTAAATTGAAAGTATTTAACAAAGACTATGAAACAAAGGTTATAAAAGAAATAAAAGAAAGGAACATAAATTTCTAACTATGAAAATAAAATTTATCGTAAAAAGGAATTATGCATTCGGGTATATATATTTATAATGTTTTATATAATAGCATGATGAAATTGTACTGATGAAATAAATGTAAACTATATTTCTTACAATCAGCTGTGTCCAAGGTGCCTATTGCACCAGCACCTTCAGTAGTGCCGTCAGTATAAAATCTAATCCACAACTTGTTTGAGGTGGATACCATAGGAGCTGGCACTGAATTTCCGCAAAATTGACCAATTAGTTTGGCATAAGGTCCACCACCATCTCGAACCTAAGAATAATGAAATGCTTAATGGTATATTAATGTAAAGATATCACGTAATTAAACTTTGTTTGTAATTAAACTTATTTTCTGCATTCTCTTTTTTCTTACAATATTATGTCTGTGTTAGAATACGATACAATTTTGTTAGCAGCATTTCTAAAGTTGTCACACATGGGTGTAAACTTACCTCGAGATAATCACCGCTACATTTATCACGACGAGTGTTATTATTAATCGAATTTTTGATGTCTATACTATTGATTGTAAATAGTATACTTTTCACCGGTGATGTAACTACAGTCCAATGGCATTCTTCAAACGGTTGATAAGTTGCTGCCTGCTGAGTTCTGAATGATTTAGATTGAATCGAAGTTAAATTGACTAACCCTCCGCAACCGTCGGCTGAACTTGTCGTGAATAACACCTAAATCGTTTATTTTTATTATTACATTTGTAATTTTTTAATTTGGTTGACAGTACGTTAATAAAGTAACAGTAGATAATTATCACAGGAAAAACTACCTTCATATCTGTTACTGTTAAGTGACAGATATGAATAACAGATCATATAATGGCATGATATGACATTTGTTAGTTCAACAGATTTTGTACCTTAGCTGTGAAACCTTCGAAGTGTATCGAACTGTCGGCATTAAAGTTAACGACCATAGAATTGGACTCGGATTTAAATGTTGGTAAATTATCAGTCAAGTTTCCGCAAACCAGAGCAACGCGTTTATTCTGTTCAACGAACTCACCCTCGTAAACAGCGACGTTGTCGAAATAACAACTACAAATTAATAAGAAACGGTTAATAGAATTTTTAGTGGAAAGCCCTCTTGACAAGGGTTTATCAAGAGCTTACTTGGTGGAGAACTCTAAAATGAACTTCTCAAAGCGCACAAGTATACTCTTCCCTTGCGGCGCTTTAATGACCCAAGTACAATTCATGCGTCCAAAGTATTCTTCTCCATGCATCAAAGGCTTAAGTTCACTGGGCCGTGTGATTATACCACCGCATCCTGTGTTAGTTACAATAGTTTTATTATATCCTACTGATTTTCTCAAAGTAACAAAAGTTGTAATTTTAGCAAAACCAATTCTCTAACAATTATATATTGTAATTGTCATTAATATGCGAAAAATTTGCAAGAGACTCACTATTGAGGAAATATTTAAACCGGAAACCGTTTCGATGCACATATTTATCTGTCATAAAGAGGATTACTATCCGTGATAGAGATCTCAAAAGTGGTGGTTTGCTGTTGCCGCAATAACTTTCCACATCCTCTACCATGTACATATTTTCAGCTATGATAGTGACATTGTCAAAACGGCAATCTCCTCCGCGACCTGCTAAAAATCATCCCTGTTGACTTTGTAATTTTTATTGCTTTTTTACTTTAGAAATAATACGGTCTATATGTCGCAAAGTATCGTAATTTCATGTACAATTCCACATTTTTTAGGCATTATATTTGTACGTAATATACGACTCCAGATATTTCCAGAGGATCCGAATAAACCGCGGTGACTGTTGACGTTGACACTTACCGCGCTCGAGCTGGAAGTCAGTGAACTCGACGACAATATCGTCATTTTGCGCGACTATCGTATAATTACAGACAATGTTAGATGGATAGAGATTTGGATACGATGGCGATTGTATGATATCAACTTTATCGGTCGCCTGAAAAACACCTCCGCAATTCTCTCTCCAGACGGCATGAAAACCGTCCGATTGTATCGCCTCGTTCGAATGGAAAATCACCTTCATGCGGTTCGACGTCGTGTTGAAAGGCTTAGGTGTATCTCTGCCGCAAACTTTGCCTAGACTCTTCCACTCGCCATTCATAATTCGCCGCTCGTCATAATTTCCTTCATCTCTGATCCAATCAAATACCTGTATAGTGCGTTTTATTATTCCTTTTTTAATATAACGTTTTCGTAATTTAATATAACGATCTCGTGTTGTTGCAAAAATATTATTGCAACAGCGAATGCAATAAATCGCAATC